TTTTGGTTTGTTGAATTTTCATATTTAGTATACTTCTAACCAATTTAATTCCTTTGTTTCTTTATCAGAATTCCTCGACTAATTAACTTTGCTCAGTTATAGCTCGAATCTCGACTTATTTAATAGCAAATCCCTTATAATTGGGTCGAAAAAATTCCAGAAATTACGTAGTTTCAAAGCCTTTGCTGCCGGCCCCACTTGCAGCCGCCTGCTTCACTTTCTTCTGCCTCTCCCAGATGTTGAAGGCAAAGTTCAGTTCCTGCCTCAAAGCCACTTTGAACGGCAACTGAAACCGCAAACAGGAGAATCGGGTGAAATTCTGCCCCAAAAAACCTACGTGTTCGTTAATCGCCAATTTTTTAACCATCCAGATGAATTCACAGGCGGAGAAAATGATGGCTATCACCATCCCTATACCCAGCACCACAAAGGCTCCTCCCATGTTATCTAAAGTGAGCTCAGCTGCAGCGTCTTCAGCTAAAGTTTTATCTTCCTAGAAGAGAAAATCAATCAAATGAAATTGAGCACGTCTATTAAGGTTCGGGGAGTAAAATGGGGCAAAAGCAAAAGTACTGAAAAAGATCGCAAGAAGGGTTTTATATTGTAAATATTAGTTTTAAAAACTCTGTTAAAGAGTACCGTGCATTTTCCACCTCCGTTCCTTTCGCGCCACCATTTGTTCTTCAAACGATGCAATACGCCCATTTCTTGCATTTTGAGGATGGCTTCATTAAACAACTTTCTGTGCTGGAAATCTGCAATAAATGTGTTTCAAAATCCAGTTAAAATCTGATGGAGAAGTTAGGAAACTCAAAGCTGGCTTTTTGGAGCTGAAAGGTGGGAAAAATCATCATTTGGAACGTTCATTTTGATCAAGTTTAATCCGTAATGTAAAATTTTCTTTATAATCTCTGAACTCTTCCACATAAGCATCTAGTTGATGCATTGAGTAAACGTGAAGCAGGATGTATTTTTGCATCAGAAAAATCATCTTCTGCAAATCTTTGGGAATTTGAATGCATATTTTTGGGCCTCAAAGGCACATTTTAAAATAAATTACCTACTGGAACAGACTCTTAAAAAAACTTAAACTAAGGCCTCCTATGTACTTACTGGCAGTCATGGCAATTCCATACCCTTTGGAGTCAATTTGGCCACCAACTTGCACAAGTTCGCAATTTCTTTCCGTTTCATACTCAATATTGGTGCTTTCCATGAAGAAAGCATAGCGGCGTTTGCTGGCCAAAACTCTCGCTACTCCTGCTCGATTCGACAGCTCGAAAACGGTAGGATCAGCCGACTGCATCTGAACCCACATTTGATGGTAAGTCGAGACGTTGGTGCTTGCGAAGAACGAACAAGTGGAACCACCTGAAATTCCGCGAATATTCCGGAATTGTTGTCGTATATGTTGGACACTCACCGGCTACACAACCGTATTTAATTTTCGATTGCGTGGCCAAATCTTCAGCACTTTCGATGCTGAGTCCCATGCGGGACATGGTGAGGAAAGCTGCCATGTTCGCTGTATAAGACGAAGTCATTATGAGCGAGAAAAACCACCAGGATGCAGTCACCATTCTCGTAGATATGCCCCTGGAAGGTTAATTTGAAGATGGAATAAGAAAGCGTTTTTGATGGACATAAAAAGCTCTCCAAGTCGTAGTAGTAAAGAGCTGATTTTTCGCACTTACTTCGGTAATAGATCACAACCTTGCGCCATTATAGAGCCCAAGGTGAGCCAGCAGCAGTTGCGGATGCTCCAAATGTTCTCCAGTTCTTCCGGGTGGGGGTCGCATGGATGGGGATTCTCCCAGTCGTTCGGATTGAGCCTGAAAAATTCAGTCCCAATCGCTTTCCAAATGTGTGAAGATTTCACAGTTTTGTGAACAGTTGTAACTGCAAAATCTGCTGTTTAGCTTTTGGAAATTGCAGACTTTCAGGCACATTAATCAGGTTTACCTGGCCACTAAAAATATAATCAACGACACCACCAGGTAGGAGGTGGCCATATACAGCCAGACATCCAAACTTAGAGGATGAGCAAATGATAGCAGCTCTGGAGGTTCTTTAACTGCTTTCGCATACAACACACTTATACCTAAAATCGGCAGTTTGAACAAACGTTTCAGGCAGGAGAAGTTCGCGACAATTTACCTAAAGTCATAAAAGGCATTGTAAAATCCACAGCAGTTCGTCGTTCGTAGGTAATGGTTAAATCGCATACAGCGAGATCAGCTTTCTGGAAAATACACAACTCACAATAGTTTCGGAAGTGTTATTTCAGGCCAAACCTAACTGGTGAGAGCCGATAGGCTCGAAACCGGTTCAGGAGGTGCCTGAGATCAACATCTTTCGAAATCTCTAGGTACTGCGGATGCCAAAAGTACTCAAAAAAACTCAATCAATATGAGGCTTGACGTTTTGTCTGGCAATTATAAATATTTCTTCTAGTTTAAGCAACATCCAATATTTATAAAACGACTTTGAAGCTGGTTAAGAAATGAGGTCGAATCAAACTTTTCTCATTTCCTTAACTTTGATATCAGAAGCCGGTTGAAGCAAGGAAGGAAAAMTACATGAGATTTTTATTTCCCGTGGGKGCCGTCGCGCTAACTTGCTATAAAGAAACTCTTAAGAAACCCGCTGWTGGCAATTAAAAATTTCCTTACAAAGAAACCCCTTTGTCTAGCCCCCATTTCTTGGGAAAAATATTTTAATGTTTGCAGGACTTCAAATATACATTACCCGGTCCAGAAGGTGCCTGATTAGGCCGTTCCACTCCTTCGTCACTGGATCGAAGTTTCCATACTTTCCATCAGCAACCAGTTCGATGGTAAAACTGCAATTTAAAATACTGCAGATTTCGTGCATCAAGTCCAAAGCGTAGCCTTCATATCGATCATTTCCAAATAACTCTTTTCCGTATTTGGATGTTTTCTTCATTAAATAAGGATCGCCTAATCTGAAAACAGCTTTTGATTGGTCAAGGATCTTGATCTGAGCCATTTAATGACTGAAAACTATGTAAAGAACAGGAGAAATCATGCAAAAAAGTTTGTTTGAATAGCGAGTTTGAAACGGAAATAGAACTCCATTGACTCTCTAAAAATGAACAACGTTTCGACTTTTATTGGGAATTTTTTTCAAGCTCTGAGGTTATTAAGAAGATTAATCAATAATCTCTGCCAAATTTCAGATAAAAGCAAGCAAATCTGGTAAACTAATGAATTAAAATTGACTCAAACTACTACAACTCAAGAATGAGAAAAAGACAAACAAATTATTTTGTTCGAATAGCGGGTTTGAAC